ATTTCCTTTCTTTTTAAACTTATCTAAATGTTAATATTTCCTTTCTTTTTTAACTTATCTAAGTGTTAATATTTCCTTTCTTTTTTAACTTATCTAAGTGTTAATATTTCCTTTCTTTTTAAACTTATCTAAGTGTTAATATTTCCTTTCTTTTTGAACTTATCTAAGTGTTAATATTTCCTTTCTTTTTGAACTTATCTAAGTGTTAATATTTCCTTTCTTTTTGAACTTATCTAAGTGTTAATATTTCCTTTCTTTTTAAACTTATCTAAGTGTTAATATTCCCTCAATTATAAATACAAAAACACTCACCGACTCCTTCCTTTGTCTATGGGGAATATGCGTACTGTTTTGTCATAGCTACCAGCCACAACTTCTTTTCCCGTTGGGGAGTAGTCTACATCGATAACTAAAAACAATAATAAAAGAGTTGTACACTGAGAACCGTATAGATACAGTAACTCACTGCAATATGCAACGATAAAAAAAATGTTTATTGAAAAGCTGTAGTTATACATATAAGTTTGCTTCCAGATATCTGAATACTTGAAAATTTCTTACTTTTATAAATGGCTTTTTACAACAAATAGAATCTAAATTGGAGCTGATGCTATTGCCTTCACCACTGCACCCTATGTTTAAGTGTAACACACGTATTCACAATGAGATATTGAATGGAACAGCTACAAAATCATATTCCACAGTAAGTTATCCTACCTTCAACCTGTGAATATGAAGTAAACTTTATATAAATATTATAATGGTTCTACTATCACATAACATTTCTAACAACAGATAATTCATAGGCAAATATTTACTTTGAATAAATGTACAAGCTAAATATTTAACATTACTGGTACTTAAAATGCACATAGTATATTTTATTTATCCCTGGAAAGCTATACCTACCAGCAGAAACATGATCGAGATGAATCTGAAGAGGAACCTTTAATTTTCGCATGTCAAATGTATACAAACTGGAAAAATAAAACAGAAATTTATGAAACAGTCTATATAACCAATACTATATAGTGACACTATATAACTAACAAGATGTAATGTTAACTGTTTTCTAACTCCAACCGATCAAGTACTAGTGTGACATATATATAACTAACAAGATGTCAGGTTAACTGTTTTCTAAATCCAATCAGTGAAGTACTAGTGTGACATATATAACTAACAAGATGTCAGGTTAACTGTTTTCTGAATCCAACCAGTGAAGTACCAAAGTGACATATATATAACTAACAAGATGTCAGGTTAACTGTTTTCTGAATCCAACCAGTGAAGTACTAGTGTGACATATATATAACTAACAAGATGTCAGGTTAACTGTTTTCTGAATCCAACCAGTGAAGTACTAGTGTGACATATATATAACTAACAAGATGTCAGGTTAACTGTTTTCTAAATCCAACTAGTTAAGTACAAAAGTGACACTATATAACTAACAATATGTAAGGTTAACTGTTTACTAATTCCAACCAGTCAAGTACCAGAGTGACACTATATAACTAACAAGGGTTCTAATGTATTTGTTTTCATTAATGTTGATGTAATAAGTGAAACATACTTGTGATCTTCATTGGCTGCTGTGAAGATAAAGGCTTCCATTGGATTCCAGCATATGGTATTGCTTCGAAGCTCTAATACAACCTACAAGCCAAAGCACAACACAGTCCCAATTAATTTGCAAAACTAAATAGAGTTGTTGTTCACCAAAGTATGTGTCGGTTGTGAAGATGAAGTTAATATGTGTCACTACACAGAACCTCAAGTGTAGTTTAATAAATGCACTAATCAACATATAAACCTTTTTATGATATCACAACGTGGTATGAAAAATTACTAATGAAGCACAGCTTTGTAAATATCTATGTTCAAATAATATGGGAAATTGTAAAGTATTTATGTCAAAGTAAATAGTGATACGAGTAGTTATTTATTTAATTAAATAGTTATATGAGTAGTTATTTATGGCTTTCTTGAGAAATATATTACGTGGAGGTACTTTAGGGATGAACAAATAATTTTAAAATGAGGTTTACAAACTTATAAACAAACTACAGGTCTTGAATTTTTTTGTACATTATTTCATTCATAGAAATATTTATGTTAAATATTTTTTTAAGGCTAAGTAAATTTCCTCTTTCACAAGATATCACACAAATTATGTTGGAAAGTATGGTTGTCAACAGCAAAATATTTAAGTGATTAAAGACCTTATTTATCGAATGTTATTCTCAAATTGGCCATATTCAAACAATGCAAATAAATAAAAAAACCTTATAATTTACCAAAAGCAACCTATATGTATTATATATATATACAGCGTGGTCACAAGTAAACAGACACCACCTTTTCAGAAAAAATTAAAATTTTCAGTCATATTCACATGAATTGATATATTTGTAATTTAATTAATATCTAGTAGATCCTCCTTCTGCTTCGTGGAGTTTGTTGATCCTTTGGGGCATTGTGAGAATCATCTTGTCAATTTTAGATTGCGGGATTTTCACCCACTCTTGCTTCAAATCTTGGAGTAGATCGCTCTTCAAAGTTGATTTTTTTGGTTGTTTTTTGACTTGCCGGTCGAGTATGGCCCAGAGGTTTTCACTGGGGTTCATGTCATGAGATTGGCTCAGCCAGGGCAACTTCTGGATACCATTTTCTTCCTGCCACTTTTGGGTGTTTCAAGCAGTGCTCCATCTTCCTGGAACAACGTTGTGTTCTTGTCCACGAAATCGAGGAATAAAGTGGCAAGAGTCCTTCCTCTAATACTTCGACGTATTTCTCAAAATTTA